CCCCCCACTATCCTCTCTTCACAAATTTAAGGCTATGCAAAAGGTGCAACACGTGATATAATAGTGAGACATAATCGCCTCATTTGTATAGAAATATATCTATGCTCTTAAAGTTTGGCAGAAGTGTTAAGTTCAAGCAAGAAAGGAGTCAGTCATACCACACTCAGCATGTGATCAACTAGGCATTCTGAGAACTTTTTGAATGATATGAGAGAGAGAGAGAGAAATAAGGTGAAACTCACCGAGGAATCAGCCCACTTTTCTATTAAGAAGGGATCGCCATCACAGGCCAGCAATTGGGGATAGAAGTGGCTAGATGAAAAGAAGAAAAAAATTTAAGTTTTAGTTAACAGTGGCGACTAGATTAGTTAAACTGACAATCCTATAGATGCACAAACAAAAAAACTAGCTGAGATTCAGTGATTTTGATTATCGTGATTTTCGACCAAATTAAGAATACGAATGGATTTTGGTACCAACTACGATTATGTGATGGGCATTGAGGTTGAAATTTATTCACTTTCTGCTCCAAACCTACTTAAAAGGATGGATGAACAACGATTTAGTCAACGGTAATTACAGGTTTCCAACCTTATTCACCACGACATTTAACCGGGTAACGAAATTCTAATACTCTGACGGCAATCCAACAAAATTGATTTTTGCTCCGGGGATTGGAGGTTGCCATTTACAAACGTGACACTCTGACCAAATAGGATGTGTGCTAGAAGTGTTGGAAAATCGATTTGCATACCTTCAACTATTGGATTTCTATGTACACGAGTATTACCGCAATTATTATTAGTAACAAATCACTCACTATGTATTCGACATCAGGGCAATTTAAATTATTAATAAAACTGGAGTCTCTCTTTTTCATTCATCTTCATGCCCTCTTAGTACTTGCAGTTTTAGCAACTGGTAAATGAGCGCTGAAAAATGGAATCATTAAAGTGACGACTGTTGTGCTTTCTGTTTGCAACAATAGAGAGCCAAATTTAATGAACTCACTTCTTATGAAAAGCCAGTTGTTCCGGCAGATTGACAACCAATAGAGCCCGATTATCCCTAATAAAATTTGGCAATCTTGGCAGGTTGGAATCACAAAGACTGGGCGAGAAAGTTTCCGTAACAGCTTCGAGAAATTTTATGTAATTAACCTCTGTGGAAAGTAGTTCATGCAGAGCTCGTTGGTACAATTTTTGATTGGTCAGTTTACGGTCTTCGGGGATAATTTTGGATTCAGGCGACGATGACGTCTGGAGTGTCGTCTGTGGATTCTCAGGATTCTGTGGAATGTAGAATAAGACAGGGAGCTCGTAAATATTATTGAAGATGACTAAGGCAGTATGACTGGTGAGTGGGAAAACTGCGTGGAAGGGGAAGTGGGAATGCGAATAAATGATTCACTAAGAGAGGGGAGATAAACCTCGCAGGACAGAAGACCCCAAAACCCTAGCACGTTATGAGGCTTAAGTTAAAAGGTCAAAAAAGTTTCAAGGGAAGTTCAAGTATGTGGACTTTGTGGAAGCAGTGCCGATATATGGATCTTGCTAAAGCTCAACAACGTTAAAGGCCATTCGATAAAATTGTCACGGTATACGCAGTGGAAATCCCTGTCCCTGAAACGTATGTGACCGACTATTCATCTGTCGGTCGAATTGGCCTGTTATTCAAATCAATCCAAAACTCGCAGTAAAGATATAGGCTCTAAGGATATGAAACTAGAAGTACGTCAAGAAACCACAAGGGCTAGCGTCGTCCTCGAAACCAGGAGAGCCCAGAATAAGGCAAAGAAGAATATGGCCTCGACTGTAATCTACGGTCTGTAATCTACTCGATTCCTAAATCATCGCAGTACACCCAAAGCAAAAAAAACAAATCCCAAATGACATAGTTTTTAAATTAAGTAATAAAATAGCTAGTCTCGTGCATCAAAGTGCGCTTATAGCAACTGATTTAAGGTTTCTATGGGATCCAGTTAAGATAATCGTAAAAAAACTCAATAGATTTATCATAGGAATCGGGATCGAAATTTGGCAGGCCTATCTCCATTTCAGGTATATAATTCTCTCTGTTTTATAATATACAGACTACTTTACAAGACAAAAGCTCTCTTTACAACTCTAGAGCAAAGTAGCAACATGATGTGCAACATACTTCATGGAATTTTGAATAATACCCAGAACAAAATAGTAAATGACTAAATTAGACAAACTTATTCCTACCTCTTTGGCTTCTTCCATCCCATTAGTTGTCTTCTGTCGAGCTACAGAAAGCGTAGAGCTATTCTGCTGGGTTTGTGGCTGATTATGATGTTGGTGTTGGGCAGGAGGAACAACTTTAATTGGAAAGGTATTCCTTGAGATCTGTTGTCGCAAGTTGGAAATAGTCATTTTGAGTGAATTCTCCATTTCTTCAACGGATCTTAGCATTTGACTCAACTCAACCTGAAGGATAAAAGAGACTGATTAAAGAAAGAGAATATACCGTGTACTTATGCAGCACATTCAATCCTCAATGAGATTTAAAGATGCTCAAACGTTGACCTTACCTGATATCGCTGAGCATCAACAGAAAGACTATGAACACAATTATCAGGATGATGAAGTGGACTCCGGCTCATTGACTTTGACGATCTGCGAGCAAATATCAGCTGAGAAGACTTAACTGAGGGGTGTATATAGTTTAAGATAGTCCACATCATCTGACTTTGCAATCTACTATACCAATGAGCGGAGAGGACTAAAGTCCAATTTAGCGAACACCGTGACTAGTTTAAGAATAGAACAACAGAAGACCCGGTCTATGTATTACCCATTGAGTAGAAAAACTAATTAAGATTATTATTATTATAACAGACGGGTTTGCATAATAGAGATCATTGCAGTTAGCCATCGAAAAACCAAGTTTATATAACTAACCTAAAATTGTATATTTCCAAATGCATTTCAAGAAACCATACCCAATTAAAAAAGTGAAGCACAGAATCGTTAGAAAGCCCATAAGAACTAAGACTTATTAAACTTAATGGCCACAGTCGTCCTGACCTTAAAATTGGAAAAGACTTCGATTCCACCAACCACGTCTTTAAGACTAATTGAAGTAAAGACAAGTAAAATCAGATTGGGCAGCGTGATGAATAGATGAAATAGAGAATCGACTGAATTGGGGGAAATGAGGGAAGATATTGATAATTGGGGTCATAATGATCTAACATATGAAAATGTTCCAAACACTCAGGACAAAAAGCATACCAATTAACAAAGCGGTTCGTAATGGATTGCTACACTCACAGTATCAATAAATTCAACTAAGACACCTTACGCTGCCAATAAAATAGCATCCTCCTGTAAACTAACCAATGAAGATAGAGTGCAAATATCAAGTTCAATAACACCTACGTATGGCTGGTTTTATGTAATGATGGTTGGTTGTATTAAATTAATGTATTACCAATTTGCTGAAAAGACGCAAACGAGAGAAGACTATCAGATGGAAATTCTGCGTGAGATCATAAAAAGTAGGCAGCATACAGATGACTATGCCAGCACTAGATACCTATCTGCAAGCATGTGTGAAGCTGCCAAACAAATGTCAAAATAACACATCAATTAGGTGATGATTAAGTTTGTGTCGAAGGTCCAAGTAATCTTTATTGCTAGAGGATCAAAAATGGGTTATGGGGACTATGACGAGCAGCTATATAATGGTAATCAACTACCACGTACTACTTTAAGCATACCTCAAATGCTTCACTTTAGTTGATTTAGGAACAAATATACGAAGGTCTATAAGGCACACAATCACGATGCGTATACAGATATCTATTAAACACATTTAGAATGGGACAATACAATTTAGCGAGCATCGATGTCTATTGATACTCGATAAGTAAGTGGAATGAACAAACAATCAGGTTAAACCTATCTAATAAATGAAACGACAGCCTTCAAGTTTTTCAGTAAGGATCTCCTTGGTGTCACCTCTCCATCCAAACAGTATTAAAAACGTCCTAAATGGGGTTTGAGGATAAGTTAAGCATTGGGGTAACTGTGCTACAACAATCAACAAATGGAAATAAAGGTGCATTAGATGGAATTGATAAATGAACATAATAATGGAACAAGCGACCACACACATGGCACTCGTGTTGTATATAAAGAACAGTATAACAGCATATGTATAACTGCAATAAGTGAAAAAACGAAAGCAACTGGTTGCAAAATCAGCTTCCTTCGTTCGTAAGTAGAGAAGGATTGGCTGAACCAAACTATATTGCTGATTCACCAACTCCTTATGTGCTTATCCTTCAAGTTTTAACTAAATCCCTTTTTTGCAAACTGTGCAAGGGTAATTTAAAACTTATTAACTCTCTCGTCTCATATAAAAATTTTATATATTTCTCTGACCTACTGGTCTGATAGTAGTAGTAGCCTCTAACCAAAACAGACTGTGAAGACCAATCTATCTTCAAGGACAAATGTTGAACTTGACCTACTTCCCCGACTAAGTTCTGTAACGTAAATGAAATTAGTACAATAGCAAGCGACCATTTACTTTGTCCGCCTTGTCTTCGCTAATTGTAATTAAGAACTCCAGTACCGACCAGAACGTCCCCGCTCTATTCACTAGATATTCTCAGTCTACACCCTCAAATGATATACGAATCCGAATACTATCCTCGTTAGCAGTTGGAAGCATGGGCTGACTCAAAAAGCTTACTCACAAATTTATAACGATTCTCTAGTTGTTCCATTAAAGTCAATGAAGATGGTACGGACAGGGCCATCAGCACAATTTCTCTCAAATGTATCACCATGACAAATGGTCTGTGAATTTCACTTTTTATTTTATTTAGTTATTGAAAATTCCATCACAAATAAGCTTCAAAATTAAATATTCAAGATTAGTCTTCTTTTTCGAAAACGCAGAAGTCAGTTTTCAATAATTATAGCGTTACAGATCTCAAACAGAACAAATTCTAAATTCGAATAAGCCTCTAACTGAAGTTCACAACTTCAAATACGATCCAACTTCCTTCATCTTTACCCTCCGCTTGAAATCAATATAATAGAAATAAGGAACTTGAAGAATCAAAGGAACTGGCCAAATAAGCTGTCCATATATAAACAAGAGATGACTAAGCAACTATACGAAGAACACAAAAACACCTTTCGGTGAGGCAAAAGAGGGTGCCTAGAGTGCAATAGAAGAGATACGATTTGCGCTTAATAAGAAATGCATGTGTAGTGAGGTTAGGACATGTTATGATCAACTACAAATATACACACACCCACACACAGATAAACAAACCTTCATTTCAGAATTGAGTAAATCCGAAAACTGCTTCCTGAACTGCCCCGGATTGCCTTTGAGTACCAGATTCGCTTCGCGAGATTCAAGGAAGGCATTCAGTTGTTTAATGGTCTCTTCACAAAATGCTGGATCCATTTCTGTGATGCGTTCAGGTGTCAACGGCGCATTTAGGTTGCCTCCTTTAGATATCCACTGTCGAGCTTCGTTGATTTCCGTATAGAGTTGAACCAAGCGATCGAGTTGGTTGACCGCTTTGCCCAAACCAGCTCGTGCCAGGTACTCGATTTTTCGCAGAATGTCAACTCGCGCTTCTGCGTAATCAGGAAGGAGGCAAATGAGGGGAGGAGCTGAGGTGTTCAGTTCAATGGGTAAATCCAAAGAAAGTTCATCCGATTCTGTTGTAAGACTACTCTCATCTTCACCGGCATAGTAGAAATCGTTCAATTCATCACTTCCCGAAACTCCATCAGCCAAGGGGTCATAATGCGGGCTATCAACTGAAATAAAAAAATACAGGAATAGTTATAATACCTATTAGGGATTTCGGATCAATCATAGAAAAATTGAGGAAGACATTTTTGAACCCAGTTGATTGAATTCAGTTAGCCAGCTGTTGACTATTGTCAAACTAAATACGGTCAATAATTTTATACAGTAGATTTTCAACAACGGACTTCAATGCCTAACCACAGTCCAAAGTGTGTATTTTTCCCAACCGCATGATGATAGAAGTAACGATAAAGACACCCCAATAGGTAGATTTTAATCGCTTACAGATCGAAAGTTAGTCAATACGGGTGATAATTTCAAAAAGATCGGACGCACGTGTGAAGCATTAGTAATGACCTTAACCCTTTCAAACCACTAACTGCAAGATTAGTGACCTCAAACTTAATCAGTTCGAATATACAATGAATTAATCGATTTATTCAAATCAAAGTAAGAGAACTACTAGAAGAATTCGACTACATTTGATGTATCACCTCCATTATGTCTGCTGGAAGCTCTCTCAAAATAAGTAAGTTTTAAGTAACCTGTCTTAAAGGTAGGGCAGAATTTGTGACATAAAGACGTTTTGCAGTTAAAACCACACAAACACGACATCACTATGCGTAACTGCTTATTCAACATTTCTTAATATGGGGTGTGCGATAGACTTACCTCCACGTGGTGCACCCTGGGCAACGTATACTCATACGGCAAAAAAGTCTATTAAACGGCAGTTGAGTTTTGACTTCAAACTACCACGACCCCCCTGGTTGTCATTTTGGACCCCTTTCACAGTACTCACCTTACCTTTTTCTCTACCTTTGTGTCTGTCTGCCTCTTTTACATCTGTGAATCGCTCTTCTGTTCCCCACCCCTCGACTATCTGCTACTTTGATGAACCTTCCCTCTGTGAAGCCCGAAGTCAGCTAAATGGCCAATGATATCTATCAAAACGCCTGCCATTTGAAA